CTTTTACTCCTTCTTTCTTCCTTCCCTCCCCCTCCCCCTTCCCCTCTATCTCATAGGTCTGCTGATAATGGGACATGACATCAGCAAGTGTGACTTACCCTTACTCCTGTTCTTCAGCATCTAAAGGCATTTCTGCCTTTCAAGATAAAATTCTCCTTTTGATCAACAACCTTTGGCTAACAACATTCCTCTCCATTTCAGGTGGAATTCTCTTACCCACCCCTGATTCCAGGAGATGGACACGACAGCCCCACCATACCTGAGGAATGGAAGTACCTGCCCTTCCTGGCCTTACCAGATGGTGCACACAACTACCAGGAAGGTGCGTGAAGAGGCGGTGGGCAGTTAGTGTCATTTTTTTAATGTGACAAGACGTCTTAGATGCTAAGTACTTTGTAAATGAAATGCCTGGAGATGGACACGACAGCCCCACCATACCTGAGGAATGGAAGTACCTGCCCTTCCTGGCCTTACCAGATGGTGCACACAACTACCAGGAAGGTGCGTGAAGAGGCGGTGGGCAGTTAGTGTCATTTTTTTAATGTGACAAGACGTCTTAGATGCTAAGTACTTTGTAAATGAAACGCCTTTGGCCCTAGCCAGTTGGGATCAGTGGATAGAGCGTCGACCCACAGACTGAAGGGTCTCGGGTTCCATTCCCGTCAAGGGCACGTACCTCCGCTGCAGGCTTGATCCCTGGTCTGCCCCAGTCACCCCTGTCAGGACACATTTGGGAGGCAACCAATCAGTGTGTCTATGTGTCTCTCTCACATTGATGTTTCTCTCTCTCTCCCCTCCCTTCCACTCTCTCTAAAAAGCAATGAAAAATATCCTTAGGCGAAGATTAACAAACAAATAAATACATGAATGAATGAGAGGACAGTTGATTGTGCTTAATTAGAAAATGTTTAAAATCTGGTTGGAGCTGACTCCTCATGCTCTAAAGCAGCGGTTCTCAACCTGTGGGTCGCGACCCCTTTGGGGGTTGAGTGACCCTTTCACAGGGGTCGCCTAAGACCATCAGAAAACACATATATAATTACATATTGTCTTTGTGATTAATCACTATGCTTTAATTATGTTCAATTTGTAACAATGAAAATACATCCTGCATATCAGATATTTACATGACGAATTCATAACAGTAGCAAAATTACAGCTATGAAGTAGCAACGAAAATAATTTTATGGTTGCGGGTCACCACAACATGAGGAAATGTATTTAAGGGGTCGCGACATTAGGAAGGTTGAGAACCACTGGGTTAGACTATCTGAGGGCAAAAGGACAGTCTTCCTTTTTATGTTAATTTAAACATTCAAAATGAATTCATCTCTTGCTAAGGGGCAGCCTATTTGAGAGTACAGAGTACATTTAATTGATGAAAATGGTCTCTATGTGCCTAATGATGCATGGGAGATTAAAAATGCAGCTTTGCCACAACAACAACAACAAAAAAGGAAGAGTGGTAATG